TTTTTGACAATGTGGAATTGACTCCTCTCTATCGAGAGGTGGAGTCTACGTCCACTCCCTTTTAGCAGACTGCCTCCAGTGAGACTCTGTAAGAGTCTAAGAGACTAAGTCATGAAAGGCAATTCAATTTCTGCTGTGTCTTCCCCTCATCCCTCTGCTATTTTGAACATCGTGAACTGGGGAAAACTAGGCTGTGTGAAGAGGCTCTGTGGGGGTGTTTTGGCTGACAGCTCTCATTGAAGTCCTAGCTGACAGCCAGCATCAAATGCTAGACACAGAAATGAATGAATATTGGATGACTCAAGCCTTTAGATAAGTCCTGTCCCTAGCCTTCAGGCTGCTCCTGCTGACAAAAAAGGTACAAACAACTGTTTGACTAACCCTTGCCCACATCATTAAATGTAAATGTGCTATAAGCCAAAAGCAAAACAAAACAAAAGGTGCTGTTGTTTTTGACACAGGGGTTTCACTGTGTAGCCCATGCTGTCCTGGAACTCATGATCCTCCTGTCAGCCTCCTGATTGCAAGTTGCTTTCTTTTAAACCCGTGGATTTTGGGATGGCTTATTTACACAGCAATGGATGGCTAAGACACATTGTAACATGAAAAAGTGTTTCAGGTTTATCATTTCCTACCCTGTAATTAGGGTATAATTAATCAATGAGAAATGATATTTGGAGATCATAGTCCAAACTCTTTGGGTGAATTGAATTTATAGATTAACTTGGAGAGAAAGATCAACTTACAATATTGGAAGTTTTCTACCCAGGAATATGGTGTCATTCTAATTAGGTTTTCTCTTATCATCTTTCAATAAAAAGCTTTCTTCACATTGCAAATTCTTATTTGCCTGTTTTTATGCATTTTCTAGTTTGTGTTATGATCATAGACTTTGAAAATTTTGACTCTTTTGGTGTATAGAAAAGCTATTTTGCTGAGCATGGTGGTACATGTCTGCAATCTCAGTCACTTGGGAGATGCAGGTAGGAAGATTTAGGTCTGAGGCTGGTCCCAGGCAAAAGGAAGACCCTACCTGGAAAAATAAAACTAAAAGCAAAAATGGCCTGATGGAGCAGCTCAAAGTGGTAAATTTTCTTGGCTACCATTTTTTTTTTCCCCAAAGAACTTTGGCCTAAATCTCCCAGGTTTTGATACATATGACTCTCGCTGTTACTAAGTTTGAAATTATCCCATAATAATTTATTCTAGACAAAATTAGGACTTTGAGCCGGGTGCCAGTGGCTCATGCAGACATCAGGAGGATCACGGTTTTAAGCCAGCCTGGGGAAATAGTTTACAAGACCCTATCTCAAAAATACCCACCACAAAAAGGGCTGGTGGAGTGGCTCAAGGTGAAGGCCCTGATTTCAAGCACCAGTACTGAAAAAAAAAAAAAAAAAAAAAGACTGGGACTTTGAAGATAGGAGATATTAAGAAAGTGTTTAAATATTTCTAAGCTATAGTTTTAGCGGCACACACATTTCTATTTCTAAGATAGACACAGGTCTTATTCTAAAGCACATTTTTGGTTCCCTTCCTACTTCTATTGAATTCTACTCAATGTGTCCTGTATGATTTCAGTCTTTTGGAATTTATTAGACTTTTCGTTATGGCCTAATAAACATACGGAAAGATTTGGAAGTTACCCAGCTGTGAGCAGTGATTAATCTGGAGTGGCAAGTAGACTTGAAGGGCAAAGGGCAAGGAAGGATTTTTGTTTGTTTTTGCTTTGTATGCTTTTGATTTTTTCAGCCGTAAGAATTCATACAAATGTTTTAAAATTCATTATTTCTACTATCGCAGTGCTGGGGATGGAACACCAAGGCTTTGTGCATGCCAGGCAAAGCGCTATTGCCTGAGCCGCTGGCCCAGCCTAAGGACAGCGTTCTGCAAGAGTAACTTAGAGAACCTGGCAGTGTTGGTCCTTGGGCACAGCAGCTGACAAAACCCTGGAGCGTCTTTGCATGACAACCCCCAGTGCTCCCTGGGCATTGGCTCTGCTACTTGTGCACATTTCCTAAGTACTCAACATCAGGTGCTGAGCAGCAAAGAGAGGCATGCCTTCTGGACTTCCAAAGGCTCACGGTGTGGAGAAACGCACACACAGTCAAGCAATGTGCAGTGACCAGGCACGAGAGGATCACGGCTTTGTGACTGGGGTGGGTAATTCCCTGTATCTGCCTGAGGAAGCTTCCAGAGAGCGCTAAAGCTCTGACCAGAATTGGCTCCTTAGAGAGGTAGGCAGCAGGGTTGTAAATAAAACCACAGGACGCCCAGTTAAATTTGATTTTCAGATACATTTTTTAAGGTATTAGTGTAATGTTAGCATATCCTGCAATATTTGGTATCTATTGATAGTAAAACAAAACAAAACCAGTCGCCCCCACCTACGGCTTTAGGGCCGATTAGTTCAGGAATGGAAGAGGAAAAGGAAGAGAAAGGTTGGCACAAAAGGTGAGTTTTGTATGTGTTTGGGAGAAAGGAGGACTCAGTGGGACATGACATTTGAGATGTTTCAGGCTGCAGGGTTTGGGTAAAATGGTATGACTGATATGAAATATTATATAGTTAAGGGAGGTCATGCACTGGCAGTTGAAGTTACGGGTGGTGGTTAGGGATTCTGGTTCAAGAAGGTAGGGCCCGTGTGCATAATCCCATGAGAGAGGCCAAGAGTAATGAAAGGAGGAACCTCTGGAGCTGCAGGCTTTGGCAAGTGGCCGCGGCCGGCCGGCAGAGGGCACCTCTGTGCAGGCTGCGGGGTCAGATGAGCAAACAGGAGCGGGAGGGTGGATAAGGGCTAAGGCTGCCGCTGCCACTGGCGTCCTGATCACTAGGGAGGACTTTGGGTCACCTGGAGGCTGCCCTCAGTGTCTGTAGCTGTATCTTCCGGTGACAGCTTCAGCCTGCAGGTCTCTTCTCTGGTTCCCCACCCTACTGGGGAAGGGGTTGGAAAAGAGGAAGCTGTCACCCACAAACTCTGGGCTGCGACTCCTCTCTCTTCCATCTCTGGTGGCCTTTCCACCCCACTCCAGCTCGGACCAGAATCCGCTTTAGTTAGGAGTCAGCTCCACACAGCTGTTCTCCCAGCCCCGGAGGAGGGGACTGGCAAGTGGTGGGAGCCCTGGCTTTTCAAGGCTTCTTCCCCAAAAAGGCCTGGGGAGGGCAGAGGCAAGAGGTGAGGAGAGGGTGTGGTGCTGCAGTGCACAGCTCTGTGCTAACCACTTGCTGCTCCCCCAATCTGCAGCACTGCACTCCTCATCCCCCTACAATGATGTCTCTGTTAATTACAGCCGGGCTGTGTCCCAGAGGCTCTCTTGTCTTCCCAACCCCAGCATCTAGAATACCTGACACAAAGCAGGTGCTCAAACTATGCCTTCCCCTTTCCAGCCCAAGACACTGCATTCAGCACTCTCCACCACAATTTATTCTTGAAATCTTGATTCCTGTGTATATTTAAAGCCTTTTAAACAGGAATTACTCCCCACCTCTCAGACTTACTGCCTTTTCTACATAACAGGCTCTAATGCTCTCAGTAGGATCCCATTTGTTCAAGGAATGTTGTGGGATCCCCTGTGAGCTCCAGATGGAGTCATGAGGTAGGTGCTTTGTACCCTGTGGACATGTCCTAAACAGGATGGAGCATTCTGCTCAACTGTGGGGCATTAGGTCTGCTCCCCAAAGTGCAAGCAAAGGCAAATCACACAAGATCTCAAGTCGCCCTTGACTTGCCCAGAACTCAGATGGCCATGTCCGTGAAAATTACTGTACCTCCTGATTATGAAGGGGGAATCTTGAGCTTTGTGGGCAGAGTTAGGCAAGACCCTGCTGGCTTCAACAGGCTCTTGCTGTGAGGTCCAGGCTGCTCTTAAACTCAGAATCTTCCTGCCTCAGCTTCCAGAGTGCTGGAATTACAAGCGTGCACCACCATACCCGGCTACCTTCTGATTTCAAAACACCTACTATTTGGAGACTCCTGCCATCTGAGCTTTGTTTTCTAGGCAGATGCTGGGAGGAAATGGAAAGGCCAACAGGCAAATTTTCCTCAGTTCAATGCTTTCCTTGCTCTAAGCCAAATTAGCAGAGCTTTACTGAGGAGAGTTACTGTGGCTTCAGATGAACTTCAAACTTCATGTACCCAACGAGTGGATGCACACAGGATTTTCCCTCGCTTGGCTCGGGTCTCAGAGACGTTTGTAAGTGACTGGGTGGTTCTTTAACCACTTAGCAAAACACTGGTTTATTCAAGCCAGGCCCCTACTAAAACATAATGACACAATGAAGGACTACCAGCAAATACTTAAAAAATTCTATGTACGACTGGAACATAAAACAAACTGTTAAAACTGCCTACATGGTATAGAGATAATGATGTTCACTAAGATCCAAGTTCCCTGCAGGATCTACCCTTTTAGTAGTTAAGACAGTTCCAAGGTTTTGTCTGAAGTGGGAAGGCCCTAAGCCTCTGACCTCAGGTGGCAATGCAATGTTCACCTCCAGCAAGATGCAGCTTCACAAGTGAGTGCTGTGGCCTCAGCACTGCAGTTCCTCACCCCCCTGCTCAGACTTTTCTGAATATCCAGAGCAGGCAGACCCCACCAGTCACCCAAACCTGGGTCCTACTACATTGGGTAGGGAGAGCACTGAATACTGCTCCTAGGAGCCTAACTCCCGCCCTCAAAAAATGAAATCTTGAGAAAATTCTGTCATGAGGACAAATGAACTACTACTGTCACTTTAGGAAAATGACTTTCTTAGGTTGGTAAGATTTCCAAAGTTCATTACAAAACAGGGCAGGTTGCTTTTATAGTTCAGAATAGACCCAAACCAAGATAGACCCAGACTTGCAGATAGACAAGTGTAAGATGAGGTTTCTTTTCCTACCTAGCTTTATATGGACCATCATTTTGGATTCATTTGAATTGATCTAGAAATAGTATTAGCATCAGTTGAGAATTTAAGTTCTAGGTATCTTTTTACACATTCCCAATTTTTAAAATCAAGGGGATAATCACTGCTATTCCATGGTACCGATGAGGGCACCAAGGCTAAGTTAACATACCCACGTTCACAGGGCAAACCTCAAATCCAGGCCTAAAACCAGTACTTCTACTTTCCTTTAAACACTGCCTCAAGTTCATGCTGAAAGGAAGCACCTGTGTGTATACTTACGTGATTTTTTTTTTTTTCAAAACCCTGAAGATGCATTATTTTATAGAACAGGAAACAGGCTGTAGGTAACTATAATTATTCCATGTAATTATAGTTAAGACAGTTCACCAATATTAAAAGATGGGACTAACATTCAGAAGAATCAGTGGCCCCAGGATAATACTCATTGGATAAAAACGTTTTTGTTTTCTTCAGTCAGCATAAACTTGAATGGGCAATCTTAATTGTAATTGAGGTACAGATGGGGTATTTTGTCTAGAGAAAAACACAAGACCAGGTTTATTTCATACAATGTTATTCACACATTTTTCATTTTCTAATTTACACATAATATACAAAGAAGTGAAGATAACATTTCATATGAACCAATAAGAGCCAGGACTTAGACAAACTGGTCCAGAAACAATCCATATCAAAAGGAGACGCTCAGAGAGTAAAGCCTAAGTGGTTCTGCCCAAATTTCTTTATTCTGAAGTCTCAGGTTTTACCAAAATTCCATGCCAACATACTAAAAAGGTGGAATAGGGTGGGCACCAAACATGGCAGACCATAAAATTTCTACAAGAACAGGTATTTCTCTAGAATACATCTACTAGTATTAGGAGGAAAAGTCATTACCAATCTCCAATAAGGACAGCTTTGATCCTGAATCATGGGGCTGATACTGGGAGGAAGGTCCAACATGGGGCCAAGACACTCTGAGGCTGGCAAGACAAAGAAGGAAAAAGTGGAAGGGTGCAGCTTTGTGTGGGGGTGGGGGAAACACTGCTACTGAGACAGGGACATGCTGATGAACCAGTATGACTCTGAGGAGGACAGTGACAAGTGATTGGACTGAATGGCCTCACCAAGGAATGTTGGGTATTTACCAAATTCTAGTTTATTAAAACTAGAATTACTCAACATCAAACATTAAAGTATTCCTGGCACCCCAACCCTCATGCCATTATTTTAATATTCATGTTATGAACAGCTAAGTGATAAAACCTTTATATTCCATATTGTGCTCAGCAGATTGCTTTTCATTTGCAGACCTCTAATAAAAAATTCCTTCCAAGTTCAAATGACAGAGACAGCATGTTCATTTTAGTTTTCAGCACTAAACCTAAGTGGGTCAACATAAATGTTTATACAAAATACTGACTTCAACAAAATACAAAGCACTTTCTTTATCTTTCAGAAACTGAATATACAAAGCAAGTTTTTTTCCAAAATATTTTCATAGGCAAAGGATTAAAAACGATTTTAATTATACACATATGATCACAATTTTGCCTTAAAAAGATTGTTGGGAAATGTACATAAGGCCGCTTGTAAATGTACACCATGTTACTGTTATGTCATATGTCCAGAGAAAAAAATGTTATCATACAGATTTGCTCTTCTTGGGAGTAGGCTATTCAAAAATACAGTACTCTTCTGTACAAAGAAAAAAGTCACATCACATTGGTAAGATGGAAAAAAGCATTGGCCTCCATGGTAATCAGATATCTCAGTCCAATACTTTCTGTTATGCACAATACCCTGACTTCAATTCAAAGTGACCCAAATCCTAGCATGTCCATATTAACAGAGTCAACAACTATGTTATAAAACAAAATGTTTCTCACAATAATAAAAAGAAAGCTGGTTCATACTTCTGAAACCATATAAAGATAAAAAATTTTTTTAAAAAACTCACTCTCAATTTGGAGAAATAAATTTACATTATACAACACTATATTGCCAGGTCAGAGGGCAGGGACATAAATGTACACTAAAATGCAGTGTTTTCCAAAGAGATAAAACAAATTCCATTTACAGCATGAAGGTTTACAAATGTACACCTGTACAACCAAGGAAAGTGTTACACTAAATTAGCAAGGCTTTTATAATAAACACTGAAACAAGATTTGCTTTTAAAGTGTATAAACTTACAACTATTTATTACTACACACACAATGCATATATTTATAGGAAGCAAAAAAAGCTATCTGAATATGTAATCATGCTTAAATGTTGAGCTATCAGATTCACTTTTCTGTGGCCCCTTTTTACCTCTATCTGGTTCCTACTTTCTGTATCTAGTATGAAAAAGCAAAATAAAGCTCAACACTTCCTCAACATGTTTTTGTAATTCTATAGAAAAAGAAAATACAAATTTCCACTTTTGCTCTTTGCAAACCAAACTGAAAAGTTAATACGAAATTAACTTTTCATTTAGTGCACTTAACTGGATGGAAGTGTCACCATGATTTTGTTTTTTCTAACTCTTAAAACAATTACATATCTAAGTATATACAATACCTCTGTACATTGCAAGTGACATTATAGGGCAGTATTTGTATTAAAACCACATCCACTGTAAATAATGTTCTTTTATCTCAAATCATTTTATTCTTATCTTACTTGTTGAGTTTTTATTTGCATGATAGTTTGTGAATTACCAAAATACAACTTAACTTTCTTTTTAAAATATTAATAATATTTATGCAGTTGATTGTTAATCTGTTATAAAAAGCTTCACGCAAAGGAAAAAAAATAAGGACTATAATTCTATATACATCTCTATAAACCTGTTGTGCTATGGGGTTGTAGACCTATCAGACTGCAAGCCAGTTTATTAAAAGAATACTGTACTTTTTCCTTTAAAAACTATTTTTGTGACTTTACAAGGTAAAAATTTACAAAATATGTGACAGCTTTTTTGTTTTGATACAGTTATATCATATACAGGCATTCTGTGCTTTGCCAGCAATCCAATCTGATAGGTCTCCACTCAGGGCTGAATACAATTTATAATTCACCACCCCACCCCCAAATATACACAAGAACCTTAAAAAATTTACAAATGGATGAATAAAGTCAATAAATAGTTTTGCTTTAAAAAAAATTGAATATTCATAGTTGAGCTGTGTTTTGATAATTCACAAGAAAAAAAAACCTCTATTCTTTTCACATGGTTAAATCACCATCTTCTTTCTCTTTTTCCTTTATAGCATTCCATTTGGTGGTCCTCCAATAGGCCCTAGATCTGGGCTATTTTTCAGATAGTATTTTTCCAACTTGGCCAGTATATGCTTCCCGTATGTATATTTGCGCAAGGTAGTAATGTGAGGTCGAATCTGAAAAACAAATCATCTGCTTAGGAAAAAGGTAAGTCTAGCTTCTTAATCCCTTAAGAAGCACCCTCGAATCTGAGTAATTTAGAGAAATAATTGCTATTTAAAATTTTAAGTTCAAAGAAAGCTTAATATTTTGCAAAAGCACTTCTGATTCACTCATCTTGCCAAACATTTGCTTTCAAAACTATTCAGTGAATAAACAAACCAGTACTTTTAAGCTATGTCATATGCAAACAAAGAGACTCTGAAAACAGCAGGAAAGTAACACTGAGAAGCTATTACAATCTTTAAAGCCCATTTCTTTTCTTTCCATCTACGTAGCCAAGATTTGGGTCTAAAGGCATGGGTCAAGTTGTGGAGCACCTGTCTCCCAAAGCCCAGAGCTCTGAATTTAAGCCCCAGAACTGCTTAAAAACAAAACATAAACAATTCAAATGTCACAAATATATTGGCTCAATAAATAATTGTAGATGTTAAAAATAAGACTGAAATTTATGTTGTATTTTTTTTATTAGGTACAGCTAGGGTTTGGACTCAGGCCTTTGCACTTGCAAAGCAGGCACTCAACAGCTTGAGCTGCACCTCCAGTCCATTTTCCTCTGCTTATTTTGGAGATGGGGGTATCAAAAACTATTTGCTGGGGCTGGTCTTGAACCATGATCCTCCCAATCTTAGCCTCCCAAGTAGCTAGGAATACAGGCATCTGGCTTATATGTATGGTTTTTCAGGAGAAACACTGATTTAAAAGTTAGGTAGAAAATTTAATACATCAATCTGAAAGGAGAATTTTTAAAAATCAGCACTGCAATTAAGAGCTATTAATTATTGTGCATTGGCTTTGGAACTAACCCTGCCAAAACCATTTTAGTTGAACTCAAAGAAGTGACAGATTTTGTTTCATATTTGCAAAAAAGAAATACATTTAGAAAAGGATCCAGGTAATATTTCTTTCAGTTTTGTTTGTTTTTATCATTTTCCAAGATGGGGGTCCTGCTAATTTTCTCATGCTAGCCTGGAACTCAAAATCCTCCTGCCTCAGCCTACTGGAGTAGCTGGGTTTAGGGAGAATCACTGCACCCAGCTTCAGTGTTCTTTTCAACAGTAACGTTCCTATGGCAATTAATGATTTCTTAAAGGATCATTAGTTTCAAGAAAGAAAAAAGTTACAAGTATTAGCAGCTAATACTACTTGAGGAAAATAATCAAATCAGTAAAAAAATTCTCTTTAGAAAAAATGTATTATATTATGTTTGTGGGAAAATCTAATTACATTTTAAAATAGATGTTCAACCTATGTATTACAGCAAGTCAAGTACACCTAATTAAGATGGGTAAGGAAGGATAATGCTAAACACAGGTAAACAAATGAAAAAATGACTATGATTCTACTGAGACTACCCTAAGAATTTAATAAAAAGACAACATCTGCTGAAAGTTATACATGGGTTTGAATTTTTTTCTCCAGTTATAACATACATGGGAAAATTAACACCTAATGGGATTTAAATGTGCAGCCAGAGTCTATTTTAAGTATTATGCACTACATTACCTTGTGCATGATTATCTTTCTCTGAGCAGGTTCAGCCATGTCAATCATCTTCTGAACCACATAATTGGCGTACTGATCCTTCATCATGGTGTATAAGGCACTGTGAGGACCATCATTCTGGCAGCAAACCTCATCAATCAGTAAAGCTCTCTCAGCACGGGAGGCATGAGTAACACACTTTTCTACTACATTGCTAAAAATTAAAGTAATACACAAAAACTTATTTTCTTTACAGCAAAATGTCCCCAACTTTTGAAACAATTTACTTCAATGTATTAGAAAATAAAAGTTTAGATGGGATTATTTTACAATTACTTTAAAAAGAGAAATTGGTACACCATGGAACAACCCACATTTTGACATCTACAAATTTAATTATAGCCCTGTTAAAAACCAGGTCATTAATTAGGTCTGACATTCAAGAACATATTCTAAATACAGCTGCACTTCCTCACTGGTCATGAAGACAAATATTTTGTAAATACACATTAAAAAATGGAATAAATGTGGACAAAACCAATTTGTTATACTTCAGACTTTTCAAAAACAAAAGCAATGTTGTGTGCATCTGTTTTGAGACAGGGTCTTACTAAGTTGCCCAGGTTCATCTCAAACTGTGGACTCAAGTGATTCTTGTGCTTCAGCAGGTGTGCGTGAGTGCTCTTTAACAACACCAAAAAAAAAAAAAGGTAACACTTCAGTGCTATATTCTAGGCTAACATAGAAGGAGCTGAAAGAACTGATCCCTGTAATTAGAAATACCTGGCAAATTTGTGTTGACTCAGGGCTAAGACCTTTCCTCTGATTTCGGCAACAATTTTGCTCTTGTCTTCAGGTCGGCCATGCTCCAGTACATGCTGAATAACATAATTGCCATATTGATCCTATGGATAGATATTTAAAACTACTTTCCATCAGTTGTTCCTTAATGAGTATTTTTTAAAAAGATGTTAATCTTAGGTCCAAAAATCTAGTAACATTATCAAGAGAAACGGTAAGAATTTTTGTGTATTTCTACAGTTTAATATATAATTTATTATTATATGTCTCTAAAAACATCAAAGCAATTCCAAAAACATACAAACATCTCAAATTATTAGGGAACTTATACCTGCACCAACTGCTCTGTATGTTGGTGAAGTTCCTCTAAGATAGGTAAGGTCTGCTCTGCAGTGCAATGCTCCAGAATACGCTGAATTACTCTGCAGCCATAAGGATGAGTTGAAAGCACAAATACCTTAAAACAAAAGAAATAAAATTTGCATTTTCTGTTATTTTGAACAGTTCTATGAGGTTAGCAGGTGTTTGATGACATGCTGAGTTAGTTTAAAACAGAAGGTTGATTAACTCACATTTAATACCACCACAACCATGTTAGCAAAGACCGAGAACTGTGTGTGGCAGGGTTAGGGAAATGCTTGATTTAGGAGTTTAAGATACTTTGATCAAAAGGGAACTAATGAGAAAACTGAGGATATGTGATAAGGATAATAAATGGAAGAGAGGGTACTGGTAATTTAACACTATAATTAGGTGCTATTAATTACCGTGTACTAGCTACACAGTAATTGCTAATTTTCTGTCTTTTAAATACAACTGAATTGAGTCTTTTTCCCTCTTCCCCCTCTCTCAGAAAATTTGGAAAACACTGTGGTTAAATAATTTGTCTTTTTTGTTGTTGTTGCTGCAGTTCTGGGATTTACTCAGGGCCTCACGCTTGCAGGCAGGCACTCTATCACGTGAGTCACTCTGCCAACTTAATAGCTATTGATTACATTAACTTCTTAAGTTAGTATGACTGAACTGTTTCTATTGTTTTTCAGCTTCAAATAAAAAATGAGGCTATTTAGTAATTTTATGAAAAAGGCAGAAAATTAATGTGTATTTACTTTGTTTTTTTAGACAGGATCCCACTATTGTAGTCCAGGCTGCTCTTAAACAAGATAGGTAGCTTAGACTGGCCTCAAAGTTGTGATCTTCCTGACTCAGCCTCCCGAGTACAGGTATGTGGCACCATGACAGCTTACATTTACTATCTTGTCTTAATATTAGGTATTATCTTGTGACTTAAGATTCAAATTATAAAATAATGCTGCTAATAAATCAGAAGCCAAAAATCAATCTTACTTGTCCTTTGAAAGCATCAATGATGAACTGCAGTGATTGTGGCTGAACACATTCAATACATTTTTGTACAACGTGGTTTCCGTTCTGATCTTTCACACATTTCAGTACATGACCATCTAGCTCCTTTACCATTTCACTCTACAAAGGAGAAGATGACATTTAAATAATTACCTCATCAAGTAATATAGTACAATTAAAAATGCGGAGATGGAAACAAAAGTATACTCAGAAATATTTCCTGCTGTAATTTTTAATATATGAAAATTCAGTATTTTCCCTCATGTGCAGGACTGTAATGTTAACGATACATGCTGAAGTATAGCCTAGTGATGCGTGGTATTTAACCTGTGCACATCGCCCACTAATCTTTCTCAGCTGGTACCTAATACACACTTTCAGAATTCTACCCTACTTAGCATCTCCACCCTGCATTTCCAAGACATTATTTTTAATGGCTGCATGAGTCCAGCCAAGTGTATGGAAATTTTAAGAAAGGGAACCCATGGACTATGTGGTTTTCCCCTATTAACATTTCCCATAAGCAAAGAAATTATTGATGGGCACTTAAAAATTTTTTTTATTTTAAATGATAGGGTCTCGCTATACAGCCTAAGTTGGCCTCGAACTCACAATTTTCTTGCCTTAACCTCTCAAGTACTGGGAGTAGCCTCTGCCACCACACCTGACCTTAGTGTATATTTTTATTTTTTATATAAGTAAAGAACTTACTACATACAGTTTTTCTTTATCATTGATAAAATAATCTGTGTGCCTTATTAGAGTAACAAAAAACAGTACTGTGGAAAAACAGAGCTATTCAGTCTAAAGGTATTTATTTACATTTTGTTCCTCCCCCACCAAGGTTTGAACTCAGGGCCTCAAAGCTTGCTAGGCAGCCACTCCTCCAGCCTAAAGGTATTTACAGTTAAAGTAACTTTAAAATACCTCTCACTCAACTCTCAACTATATTGAACAGGAGAATCCTGTTAAATCAACCTACAACAGATTTTTATGTCTAAACTAATATGGACTAAATAATAAAATACAACGAACATAAGGAATCAAAATAATATATACCACTATTCGTTAACTGGTTCATGTTAAGACTTTTTCCCTAATGCTTTATATTTTCATATATCAAAGACATTTCAAATATCTCCACCACTTTGAAATTTGAGGCAGCTCAAGTAAAAAGTAAGCTTTTACATAACCAAATTTGTTTATTTTCTCCATTGTGATGTATTTTCAATTACGCTAAAATTCAGAATTTCCTCCAGAGTAACGGTACAGTCTCATTAATTTTTTATGCTGTGATTAATGCACACATGTGCACAAAGACATATCCAACCAGAAAATATTTTTCTTTGCTTATATTTTCACTGTAGTATATACACCACATAGTCAAAACATACGAGTGCTTTTTGTAATTAATTTTATATTAAAAGTATTTAATCTCAAATAAGAACCCACTAAATAATAAGTATTGCTTCATAGTATATATTAAAACACCTGGTGGATTAGCACTTATCCTCATCCCCTACTCTCAATGTGGTTGTCTATTTCACATAATTTAAAAAATTATTTTGATTACTTACAGGAAAAATTCCATGAGTACATGATTGGAATTACATTAATCCTTTATTAACTTAAAAAATATTTATATCTTCAATCTAAGAACAGAGTATGTTTCTCATTTAATTTATACATACTCTCTTTCCTCTCAAAGAAATGTAACTCTTGTTAAGGAAATTATTAGGTTACTCTTCTGTTGGATTAGACTTCTAAGAATTTCATGTGTATATATTAAATATCATATAGAAATGTTATTGCTTTAAAAATATTTATTCTTATAACTGAAACATTGTGACCCAAATAAACATGGAAATAGTAAAATGCATTCTGATATTGCAGAAAATAAATGAGTTAGTGACAGCAGAACCACACATCATTTGGTATTCTGATGTGTGGCACTCAAACACCTTAACTGAGAGATGGAAAGATCTTAACTGAGAGATAGAAGAGAATGGATGGACAGAGCAAAGATCTGCTTTGTAACTTTTAATTAACAATGTGCAATTGTGGCCAGATTGAAAAATAGATTTTAATTTACTTATAGAAATCTTTAAGCTACTTTTCTTCAAGATTATTCTAAGGTAAAAAATAGGTAATAACTTAAAAATTGAATAAAATATTACAATTTGTTTTCTTAACTTACAATTACCTGCTGATCAGAAGAAATAGACTCTAAAGCTTTCTGAATAACACGGCAGCCATACATCTGCAAGGCTAAAGGAAGAACATGACCACGAATACGAGTAGCCAGAGCTAGTTTTTGATCCAAACTTCCAAACTGAGAAGAAAGTAACATTAACAAAAAGTGACCACGACAGTGTTTGCAGTCTATTCAATCTATTTTAAAAATATCATACCTGAATTACACATGGAGGGAGCAGTACAGTAGAAGTGAATTAAGATAAGCCAAGAGAAGTTTGAAACAATAATTACTTCTTGGGGGGTGGGGTGAGGCTAAGTCACATTATCTGAAGTTTCCCATTACCATCTATTAACCACTGTTAAAATTTTTAAATTTTATTTTATTTTTGTGGGTACTGAGGGGATTAAATCCAGGGTCTTGTGCATCCTATGCAAGCACTCTATCACTGAACTAAATCCGTGGCCCTTCAAAATTTCTTTTCTTTATCTTAAGGCAGGATCTTGCTAAGTTGCCCAGCCTGGCTTGGAACTTGCAATTTTCCTGCTTCAGCCTCCCCAGTAGTTAGGATTACAGGTGTGCACCATCACACCTGGTCCTTACCACCTTATAACATACCATTCTTTCAAAGTAAACATCTACATTTCTACCAATCCTTCCCCCCAACTTTAATGGGGCTATGTATTAAGATCACTAAAACTCTCTTAGATATTCTCAGAGTATATTCTGATACAACAGAGGAGGAAACTTGTTAAGTCAAGTTACAGCACAAATGTTTTGGTATAAACCAAAAATCAGCTAAATTACAAAAACCAAAACAAACCCCCCTACATCTGTAAGTTTACAGCAGTATCCATTAATAGGAATTAATGTAAGACTTACCCCTAACCTAATGCTCTGTTTTTAAATATTTTATCAGCTTAATTAATAGCAAACTTGCATCCTGAGTGCTGGGATTATAGGCATGTACCACATTAACAATTTTTAAGTGTGTAAGTTAGTGGTATTGATTATATTCACACTGCTGTGAACGCATTGTCACTATCTGTTGCCAAATCTTTTGGATAGCTTCAAACAGAAATGCTATGCTTATTCAACAACTCCCCATATTTTCCCTCTTCTTCCAGAGTCTGGTAAATTCTAATCAACTTTTATGGGTCTAGAATGTGCCTTTGTAGGTATTTCATATAGGCAGAATCCCATACTGTTTTGCCCTTTAGTGTCGGTGTCTGGTTCAGAACTTCATTCCTTTTTATGGCTGAGTAATAGTGTATGTATATAACATTTTGTTTATTTATCTTTTGATGTACACTTAATTATTCTCAACTTTTGGCTACTGTAAAAAATGGTAAAATGAATGCTGGTGTTTAAGGTCCTGTTTTTAATTCTTACCTAGGAGTAGAGATGCTGAGTTTGTTAATTCTATGTTTAGTTTTCCATAGCAGTTGGACCATTTTATATTCACACCAGCAATGTATGAGAGTTCTAATTTCTCCACATCCTCACTCACCCATACTTGTTAAATTCCACCCTAGTAGGTATAAAGTAGCATTTCACTATGGTTTTGATTTGCATTTCCTTAATTACTAAAAACGTTTAGTATGTGAAGCTTATTATTTTCTATGGAGAAATGTCTATTCAAGTTCTTCATCCATTTTTAACTGAGTTGTCTTTTTCATGTTGACTTTTAGAAGTTCTTTACATATTCTATATATAGTCTACCAGACACGATTTGTGTTATATGTATTTTCATACAGAAAAGACTATTAAAGCTACATTAGTGTAAGTGGATGAATATTCAAAATATGCATGCATGCTTACCTCAAAAAACTTCTGTATAACATAATTGCCAAAAACATCCGTCATTAATTGATAGGCTGCCTGTAGAATTTCATTAAATACCATCTGTCGCTCAGCTGGAGTAGCTCTCTCTAGCTTTTGCTGTATGAATCTATGGGGGAAAAATTTTAAAATCTCAAACACTAAGGTGAAAAAAGGGGTCTGTAAAAATCTATTATTTTTCTTCTTGTTTCTTTTCTGTTTTTTACTTTTGGTGATACTAGGGAGCTTCATGCTTGCAAAGCAGCCACTCTACTGTTTGAGCAACGCCTCCAGTCCATTTTGCTTGTTATTTTGGAGATGATGTCTTGCAAACTATTCACCAGAGCTGGCCTTGAACAGAGATCTTCTGGATCTCAGTCTCCCAAGTAGCTAGAATTACAGGTATGAATCACTGGTGCCTGGCTCTTTTTTTCTCCTTTTTGAAATAGGATCTTATGAAGTAGCCCAGGCTAGCCTCAAACTTTTTTGTGAGGTGGTACTGTGGTTTGAACTGAAGACCTTACACTTGCTAGCTAGGCAGGTACTCTACTACTTGAGTCATGCCCTCAGTCCTTTTTTGCTTTAGTTACTTATCAGGTAAGGTCTCTGAATTTTGACCAGGGTTGGTCTCAGACTGTGATCCCACATAAATGGGACCAAAGGTGCATACCACCACACATAGCTGAGATGGAGTCTCACTAATGTTTTCGCCTGGGCTGGCCTCAAACCATAATCCCTCCCAATCTTTGCCTCCCAAATACCTGGAATGCCAGGCATGAGTCACCATGCTGGGGATTCAAACTCTTGATCCTCCTACCATAGACTATCAAGTGCTGGAATTATACATACATACCACCATACCTGGCAAAATCTGTTACTCCTTTTTTTTTTTGTAGAACTGGAGTTTGAACTCAGGGCCTCATACTTGCTAGGCAGGCATTCTACCACTTGAGCCATGCACCCAACACAAAATCTGTTATTTCTTACTTAAGTATTATACTCCCTCTCTCACATATATACATACAAATAAAATTATTTCTAGAAACAATAACACACGGACAGTTAATTTATTAAAAAAAAACTTAGGAAGCATTTATTTATAACATCTTTTTTTTTCTTGGTGGGAAAGAGTTACCTACAAAGCAGGTAACTACCACATGAGCCACCCTCTAGTCCTTTGAACAACACCTGAAACTACTAGTTGTACGTAAAGATATTTAATCTTTTAGGTTATTTCTGCTTTATAATATGAAAAGGAAATGACAAAGATCATGCTGGTTATTCATTTATTTTTAAAAACATACATGCTACTAAGTATTTTAAGAAAATAATAAAAGAAAACAAGTCACATTGGATGCTAACCTATAAAACAAAAGTATCTGAGTTTGTGACTGGGGTCTGAACTCAGGCTTTGCGCTTGCAAAGCAGGTGCTTTACAGCTTGAGTCACATTTCTAACAAAAAGGCAGTACTGTATTTATTATAAAAATATTCTCATTGTAGGAAACCATATATTATAAACTTAAAAAAACTATAGTTTTTATAATTTGTTGGAATATAAAATTGAAAAAATAAGCAATCCATACTCTTTTTTTTGTAGTGTTGAACTCAAAGCCTCATGCTTGTTAGGCAGGTGCTCTACAACTTGAGTCACTCCACTAGCCCCCATACTTGGGTTTTTTTTTTTTTTTTTTTTGGAATACTGGGGCTTTAAATCAGGACCTACACCAGCATTTTTTGGGAAGGGATTTTTGAGATAGGGTCTCTCGAACTATCTGCCCAGACTGGTTCCAAACCGCAATCCTCCTGATCTCTGCCTCCTGAGCAGCTAGGATTACAGGTGTGAGCCACTGGCGCCTGGCTTCCCATACTCATTTTTAAAAAGCTTCCAACATTAATATACATTAGCTTAGCAGGGATAAGAAAATTTTAGTTTTATAAGACTGCAATTTTCAAAGGACAAAGGGTGAAACATACCGTGAATTATAACCACTTACCTAGAACCATGCTGGTCTTGAGAAAACTCAACTATATGTCCAATCAAGTCCCTAAGTTGAAGGTTTGGGAAGCGGTTGTTTCTAAAATCTTCTAATAATCTGCTGCGGCCAGAAGGCATAATATCAGACCTATTATACCGAAGCCGAGGAGGAGGAAAGAGCTGGCTGCTGGAGCTAAATAGACTGGAAGTGCTTGAAGCACTTCGATATTTTGCTTCTGCTCCAGGTGCTGCAGAGATATATCGACCACTACCGTTTGTCAGTCCCCCTACAACAAAACAGCTGTGGTTAGGAAATATTTTTGACAAAGTTATTTAAACCATAAATTCAGTCAACAAAATATTCTGTTAATTCATAATTGTTATGACAGGAAATTAAAACTGGAACATCTCACAGTTAATGTATGTGGCTATTATGAAAATAAGAGACTACAAAACATCAGCAAAAAACACATTTGTTCTTGGCAGTTTCATTTAAAATGTAATTGTAAGATCTAAGGTTTTATGCATTTCTGTCAATACCAAAATCCTAAAACCACCAACAAATCAGTTATACTGATAAGCAAGCACATTATAAGTAGCTAGTAAATTTAATGTTTGAAGTCACTGAAATTGTTTGATTAAAATTCATTTTCAGGTGGGGGATGTAGCTCGGTGGTAGAGAGCTTGCTAGCACGTGAAAGGCTCTGGGTTCAATGTGCAGCATCACAGGAAAAAAACCAAAAACCAAACAAACAAAAAACTCACTTGCAGTGCTAATGGAATAACACTGAGTATTAAATCTGTACTTCTTGGAGTACACTAAAAATTACTTCTTGGAATACATTAAAAATTACTTCTATGTAAAGGCAAACTATTTCTTAGTTAACTAAAGTTAGAAACATTAAAAAAACCCCACGATATTAGGTAAGAGATCTAAATTACACACTATTTTTTAAAAGTTTTAAAATTTTTAATTAGAAATACTTCCCATAAAATGCTATTATTATTATTTTACAGATGAAAAAATAGTGGCAGTAAGTTAGTCCTAGAGCCTTAATGATTTAGGATGAATGAGCAAAAAGCCTCTAACTTATGTCTCATTCCACATTAAAAAAAATTAAGGGGCAGTCAATAGAAACATAATACAAGTTGGAAGTTATTACTATTATAAATAACAGTTTAAAAGTACTTGACAGTGTCCTTTTAAAAAAGAAAAATGTAAAGACAATTATGAAATGCAGATCTAGTAGTGCAGGAAAAAAAAATTCACCATCAGCTTTCTGCTATTATATACCAACTCTACATGGAGTAGTGCTACATAGTCAGACCAGGCCATGGGGAAGAGATGATCCCAAGGACACACTGTCAGTGCAAAGCTATACAGAGACATTGAAAGTCAAAAGGAATTATAAAGACAGGGAGCCGTAAGAGTTTTAATCCTGAAGTGTGAGTTGGGTTAGATCGTTCTTCTTTTACTCTTTATCACTAGCCCTATTTTTCTTCATTGAACTTGTCATTCTACACAGCATATCTGATATTTATTCATTTGTATCAACAGCCCCGTCTCCAATGTATGTGCCCATAAAATTACCCTAATCTATATGCTAGATATTCAATGCCTAGAACAATGTCTGGAGGATTATAAGTGCACAGCAAATATTTACCAAATGATAACTAGAGAGCATAAACATTTATGTACATTAACTATCTGAGGTTTCATTTCAGAGTAGCTTGTTAAAAAGCATATAATTTAACAATGTATCTTATACACCAAAGTCACTAACACGAAATTCTTTTATTTGTTCCAGTTCTACCTATTTCAGCTGCATGGATGAAATATTCAAAATTTGGAAGAGTTCAGTGTTGCACTACTGTCTCAATTTCATTGCTGTCAATATTTCCAGTCACCACTATTATTTGTTTATATAATTCCATGATGTATTCATAACAGTAACTGATCACTAGCCTATCTGATTCTTTAAAAAATGTAATCAGCATGACTTTTACAAATGCTATTTTGATTACGTATGTACACATCCTGCAACACTACTAGGTTTTCTCTGAAAATTATCAAGATTTTCAACACCAAATTCAAAATACATACCATATTTGAAATGACTAAGCCAACTTATTACCTTCCAAGTAAAATATCCACCAGGACTGTCTCCCACACAGCTAGATACTCTTGATTATATTCTATCAGCACTCAACACCCAACTTTCTGATGCATCTTTGTTAGGCAACTGTCTTAATAATGCTAAACCACTTTGTGCTTAAAAAAGGTTAGACTTTCAGTTCCAGACTATAATTCATAGTCCCAATTATGAAGTTGAAAAAGTTAATTTTACCGAGGGCAGGGTAACTTCCTTTCCTTGCAAATTAATAACTAAGCAGTTAAAATCTAATTTGTAATATACAATAAACATTTTCAACTTGGCAGTTTATTTATTTTGGTGATACTGGGGTTGGGACCTGAGGCCTTGCACTTGCTAGGCAGGTGCTTTAGATTATTTTTCAGATAAGAGTTTTTGCTTCTTGCTCAAAACTGGGATGACAGGCATATACCAACATGCCCAGCATGATTTGTTGAGATGGAGTCTTGATAAACTTTTTGCCAGGGCTGGCCTCAAACCTCAATCCTCCTGATCTCCAACTCCCAAATAATGGGATAACAAACAGACCCAAGCCACTATGGCTAACTTCTGCTTCAAAGTGTAAACACTGAGAACAGGTGTTTCAAAACCTATTGTAGTGAGAAACATGCTCACAACACAAAATACTCTTTAAAAAAGTCAAAGTAATAAAAAGCTGAAACAGTTTGAGATGAAACAGCTATGACAAATTAATGTATAACCACCTAGTTGTCTTGGTCAATTGGATAATGGGCCTTCAATCAAGCTGTCTCCCTCCCTACCCTCTCTTATAAAGAATCATAGTGAGGTAACTGGCAACATTTAAATAGAGCTGGTTATTTTGAGAGTACTATATGAGCATTAATTTCCTAACTTTAATAATGTTATTTAAATGAAAGATAATCCTTATTTTCAGGAAACATATACTGATGTATTTGTAAGTAAGGGACTTCAGCTTCAACTTTCATTTAAAAGAATCAGAAAAATAAAATTGTGAGGTTTTGTGTGTGTGTGTGTGTGTGTACACACGCAGAAGATAAAAGAAAATGTGGTAAAAATAGTAACATGTGGAGAATATTCTGGGATTTTAAAAACAATTAGTTTTTGTGGCTTTCCTATTAGGTCTGATGTTATTCCAAAGTTATTTAAAAACAAACACACAAACAGGTCACCCATGTTCACACTTCTGTTAGGCTGTCTAAAAGCAGGTATGTTCTGCAATGGGATTTATCAGAGGGATACATCCTTTCAGTTCATTATTTAGTCTCTATTACCACACATTACTACTTTTTTTTTTAAAAGGACTTCATGCTTGCTAAGCAGGTGTTCTACACTTGAGCTACTCTGCTAGCCACACATTACTTCTTAATTACTAATTCAGTAAGAGTACAAAGAACACTCAGATGAGCACTCTAATTTTACAGATGAAGTCACTAGAGTCCAAAAGTGATGACATACACCTAGTCAGCTAGGACTCTTAAGCCACAGCTTTATCACACAATAGTGTGCTGCTTCTTATACTATTTTGCTCATGAAGGTAAACACCTTACAATTTTACTAGTAGAAATAATTTGGTTTTACAAGTTTCCATTAATTTCTGAGAGGTCTTTTGTTTTAGAATCAAATTAAATTAAATATTATCAAATATCAGAAGCAAAAAACATTATTTAAAAATACTGGGAGATCTTGAGGTTTGGCTCGAGGGGAGGAATGCCTGCTTAACGAGCACAAAGTCCTGAGTTCAAACCCCAGTACTGTCACAAAAAGAAACAAGAAATCCACCCAAAAACACCAGTGAAAATAAGGTAGAAAAACAATGTAGCAAGTAAATGATATAAACAAATGAACACATCTGACCAGTCTTTTCATTATTTTCTATTCCGACACCCTGGGCTTGGAATGGCAGCTCCTCAATTTCCTGTTCTATGTGTATGTTCCTGTAAAAATAGATACCTCAGCTTACTTCAGACATAATGAATTACCTTCTCTAGTTAATTTTTATTTAAAAAAAATCTATCTGAAGACTATGCTTATAGAAGAGTTCGGGGAACACTGAATTAGAATCAAGATAATTTAAGGCTTCATTGTACAACAGGTGTCAACTACTAATTTCAAATAAAAATGCCAATTCTAACAGACTTTGGGGTCTTGCAAGGGGTACAACTACATAAAGACTGCTAGGAAGATGGTCTGTTTTGGAAGGCATGTCTCTGGAAAGCTCCATATATAGTAAGATAATAATGTGACTAGTTAATGCAGTGAGCAAAGAATCAATCATGTAAGAATGGGTAGGTGAAAAGGATGGGGCTGTAGTTGAGTGGCAGAGCACTGTGCCTAGCATGTGTGAATCTGAGTTCAATCTCCAGCACTAAAAAAATAAACAGAAAAAAGAAAGGGGAGAGGGGGAGGACTAAAATGAGGCCAGTGTATTTTATGGCATTAATTTTAGTTACTTCTGCCTCACAGAGGTCCAGTTTAGTATTTTCAGCTCAATGGTTTTTGGTTTTTTTTTTTTTTTCATTTCTTCTCTTCTGATCATTTGGTACATTAGTAGACTTTAACAGTCATGAGTAATCTGACTTATCACTATTCCTATCTACATGTTGCTTGGTGTTAGTGGCAAGTGGGCAAAACCACTAGAGCAGTGCTTCTCAATATGCACATGAATTAGCTTGGAATCACGGTTACTACTTCCAAATACTCAGTTGATAGCATATGCCAGACCTTAAGGGCAAAGTCATACGGTAATTTATTATTTTGTTGAGAAAGGCATTAGTGTGAACACAATTCGACTTTCCACACCAACATTAATATGGTCTTGTTATATACATCTGTACATAGTAACTTTTAAAAACGCAGTACTACCACTTACAGAATATTCTGTAACACACACTTGTGATAATTATTTAAAAAGTTTTACTAATGTTCTGTTCTCTCCATTACACAATTGGCTTAAGACTTTGGATTTTAAGTGTGTATGTCAGAGTTGAACCATGTCTCTTATACATTCAAGTTCTAACTCCTGGTACCTGTGAATGTGACATAATCTGGAAATAGGTCTTTGTAGATTTAATCAAGTAAATACAAAGTTACACTGGAACAGTATGGGTTCTAATACAATGACTGATGTCCTTACAAGTAGAAGAAAATCTAGA